TTTCTCTCTCTCTCTCTCTGCTTCTCTGTTTCTCTCTCCCTCTCCCTCTTTGACTCTTTCTCTCTGTGTCTCTAACTCTCTTCGACTTTCAAGTAAAGATAAATAAATTTTTAAAAAAAACCACTTTGGCAATGTATACGCTGATTACCCTGATTTCATTACTTCATATTGTATCGTAGGTATCAAAATATCACATTGTACCTTACATTCTATACAATTGCTACATATTGGTTACAAATAAAAAAAAAATTAGGAGTGAGTGTTTGGCCTAATGGTTAAGACACTTGTTAGGATTTCCGCATCTCCTACCACACTAGCAAGATTCAAGAAGCCCTGCTCTGTATCATGCATCTAGCTTCTTGCTCATGTGGTCATCAAGGTCAGAGGTGGGAGAGAGCAGGTAATGCCTCAAGCACTTGGGTCCCTACTATCCACATGAGAAACCGGACTGAGTGTAACCCAGATGTAGCTGTTGCCAGCATTTGGTGAGTAAGCCAGCAGGTGGAAGATCAATCGATCTACAAAGAGAGAGTAAAATGCAAGTAAAATCTTTTAAACTGCCTTTATAGTGAGGAGATAAAAGCCAAAATAAACTTATAAAATATATTTGGAAATTTTCCATTGAGATGTAAATGTTTCCACACACCCACACATAAAAGTTCTATGCCCACCAACAGACTCTAGCTATTCATGAAAGAGAGTGGGTAGAAATTGCTAACATGTTTATCTTTCGGATGAAATACTTCCATAGTCTTTATGGGGACTCCTCTGCTGGGCTATAAATCCCACTGGTAAGTGCAACAAAGTTTTGTTGGAAAGAAATGCAGCAGCCTCACACACACCCTGTATTCTGCAAAGTCCTACTCCTCCTCCAGCATCTTCACAGGCTGACCTGAAAGTCTGAGCAAGGGGAGCTCCCCAGGAGGATCCAAATTGTTTAGGGTCAGATGGGCCCCACTGTAGGCAACTGCCTAGGTTGCCATGTACCTAGGCAATTGTCACACTGTGGGGAGAAAAGTAGCCTGTGGCTGGTGGGCATTCTGGGCCTGGCTAATGCCAAATATGTGTTAACTATACCAGTATGCAAACCTAGTTACTTATTCTTTTTCTAAAAGAAATATCTTTACTTTCTTTTTGTTTAGGACATGTAGGGAAGGCAAGGAATGAGGACTGGAACACACCTCCCCAGACCCAGACAGTGGTGCTACAGATTGCCCAGAAAAAGGTTCTGCGGGTATACTAGAGTGGGAACAGCTGAGGGCATGTTTGATAAAGGAGGAATGATTTCTGGGGTTTTCCATGCACTGTGTCACTGCACTTGCAGTTAACGCAAGGGAGCTGAAATGCAGAGGGTAAGTAGGGGAAAACCGGAGGATATCTGGGCTCCTGACAAATTAAATGATTGGTACTGAGAGGAGGCAATGCCAATGAGGATTGCTACACTGACTGGCCTGCATGGGATCTGGGTGTGGGAGCAGGCATGGTAGGAAAATTTGTGAACTCTTTCCCCAGGCTGCAGATCCTGCTAAGAAGCATAACAGGGATGTGGGCAGGTATCTGTGGGCAGGATCTAGGAGCAGACCAGGCTGGGCCAGGCCATAACACATTATGGCACTCATGAGAGCCAAGACAGGTTGTGGCCCATGCCCAAATGAGCTAGACTACAACCCCCATCAAGAAGAGCTGAGACTGTCACAGGCCATGCCAGGCTGGAATGAAGCACCCACCAACACAGGCAAGACCAAGCGCTGTGAAGACTGATAGAGGAAATCTAGGGAATCCCCAACAGGACTAGAACTCCCACTGACAAGTACAAAAACCAGGGCTCTGCGTCAAACAGGCTGAAGAAAGCTGCAGCACCCACCGGCGTGTGTGTGGGCTGGGTCGGGGGAGGGTCAAACTAGGTTAGACTCAAACACCCACTGATGCTTACAAGAACCAGAATGGGTGTGAGACAAGCAGCCCAGGACATGGTACATACTCGTGAGCAAACAGCACCAAGCTGGATTGTAGCACCTCTTGGCATATGTGTAAGTTGTCCTGGGGACAGGCTGTATGATCCAGTCCACAGCACACACTGGCATGAGCAAGAGTCAGGACAGAGTACAGGCTGGATCCAGCTGCATTGCAACACCCACCAGTTCACACAAGGGCTAATGCTATGCAGTAGGCCAGGATGGCCTAGGCTGGGCTGCCCTGCTACACCTGCTTGCAAGAGCTGAACGAGGGATAGACTACATTGAGCCAGGCTGCAGCACCTGATGGCACATGCCAAGACTGAGGGTGGCCCATCTCAACCTGAACTAAAGCAACTGCTGCAAAACTTAGGGGTGGGAGGGAGCCTAGTAGGGGAACCACAGCAACTCCCCTGCTGGGCTGCTGCTTCCAAGGATGACCCTGAGAGCTGAGACCAGGGACAGGCCAGGTGCAGCCAAGCTGCTATAGCCACTGGCATGCATGAGAGCCAGAATGGGTGTGGGTCAGCCTGGCTGTGCCTCAGCACCAGCAGAAAAATGCCAGGAACAAGTGCAAGTCATGTGAAGATGGCCTGCAGTACCCCTGTCAGCTGCAAGATCCAGAGCTGGGCCCATGCCTGGCAGGGGAACTGTGGACACTTTCCTGCTAGGCTGTACCTACCTCTGGTAAACACAAGAACCAGGACTGGGGGCAGGCCAGGCTAGACAAGGGGATGACACCTGTTCACAAAGATGAGAGCTGAATCTGGGGGCAGGATGGGCTGAGCCAAGCCACAACTCCTGCTGGTGTGCATCAGAGCCAGATGGGAGGCAGGAAGCAGGGGCTGGCACACAAACTGGGGCTAGAGGACTGGTGGGAGCTATTGGGGACTGCCCCAACTAGGCCACAGCACCCACTGGTATGTGTGAGGACCAGGACAGTAGTGAGCTGGCTGGGCTCTCCACAGCACCTGTCAGTTCACATGAGGTAAGAAATTGGGGCAGGACTGACCAGACAGCTGCATCCACCCCCATATGTGTATTGGCTGGTGCAGCTGACAATACTGAACCTGATCCTGCACTGGCTGGTCCAGGCCAGAGTCAGTCTGAGGTCACCCAAGAAGAGGTTTCTTGGGGTATTCCCAACTGGACCACTGGACTCACATTCCCAATCACAGGACAAAAAACACAGGATATGTAGTTCAACCTTGGAGGAATGTATCCAGACTGAGCCTCCTCAGTTGCTGATACCTCAGTTGCTGTGCAGTGGACAGCATCCCAGACGCAAACAGAGGACATGACAGCCAGCTCATCTAGGCCTGCAGGGCACAGCAAGTGCCTCCTCAGAGGGTGGAAAGCAGAACAGGTTGGACAACCCTCCAGCCAAGCTTTGCAGCATGTTTTTGAGTCTGTGGCTGCACTGAGGTGGAGTTTGTCAACCAACAGATCTGGGAAAGATATTTTCAACCCACAAGCAATGAAACCAACAACTAACAACTTCTCACAACTATCCAAGCCATTGCAGTAACACCCTCAGAACACTCTGCCAGACTGCGGGCTTTCCAATGTCTGTTCCCCATTCCCTGGCGCTGTGATGTAGTTGGACAGCAAGAGGCAGCCCTCTCCCCTTCCTCTCTTGTGGACACAGGAGGATAAAAAGAATAGAAACACGTGTCCCACCCACCTTCCTCCATGCCTGACCCGCCCCACCCTCACAATCAGAGGTCCACAGGGGCATGCATCCCTCTCAACTAGGTAAACAACACGAAACAGAACATTTTAGAATACTTTTTTAAGAGGCCAAAGTGTGCCACTCAGCCTGATGATACTGGACAATAGGAGCTTACCAGTCTTCTCCCAAGAAGCACACTTTCAGGGAATCTGTTTTGCACAGCACCTAGTAGGAAACTCCTGGGAGCGAGTCTACCTGCTTCCCACTCAGCAAGCCCTGGGTCCAAGAGAAGAGGGAGGCGTGGAAAGCAAAAGGGTGGAGCTGGACGCAGTTCCCTTCAAACAAACAAACAAAAGAAACCTCCTAAGTAGGTATTCTCTATCTGAGATCTGCCCTGCCCCATTTAACCTTGCTATGCACACCCGTCTTGGACAAAGAACCTTTATTCCACTTGCCTCCGTTATTTTAAGCTTATTGTTCTAAATATTACACGTGCAACCTACTCCGACTAGTGGGCAAGCACAGCTTTGGGGCAGCAGGAAATGGCCATTTGCCACAGAAGCCTGAAGGCAACAGGCCATTGGAAAGCTTTCTATGCTTCACATTTTTTTTCTCTTTTACATTTTTCTTTGAAAGCCGGGGTTAGAGAGTCTTTGGCCCACTCGGCAGGCTGGGTGTCCTCTGAGCTGGCCCGCCCAGAGAGGCCTCCTCAGCCCGGGTGCCCAGGGGCCTCAGCCTGGAAACTCGGTACCTGGACTAGCCGGGTCCTCCGCCCACGCGAGACCACAGCGGGAAGCCCTGGGCGGATGCCGGCCCGAGCGGCCTGTACAGGCGCACTGACAGCGCGCGGCGTTCCTAGGAGGCGTCCGGCCTCAGGCTGGGTGCGGACTTTGGAGAACAGGGGGCCGAGGCCCGACTAGGTGGTTCCCGGCGCGAGAGGAGATGCCACAGCAACAGGGTCGGCACGTTCCACCGAGTGCGCGTGCGCCGAAGTGCGCAGAGAAGGGGTGGAGCGTACGCTAAGGTGGGAAGGTTCACGGCAGGGGCGGGCCAAGAGGATGGGTCACTTGTGGGGCGGGGCTTTGCGAGGGGCGGAGCCAGCTCCAAGGACTGAGCGCCGGCGGGAGGGGAGCTGTGGCTGGGGCCGAGTTCCTGCGGCGAGGCGGGGCGGGGCGTTCGCCTGGGGTGGGGCTTGGCGAAATGTTCTCTGGGTCGGGGACTTTCGTGGGGGCGGGGCGTAGTGCTTTCGGGGGTGGGGCTTGTTGACCGCGTGGGCCTCCCTGGGGATGGAGCGTAAGCACTGAGGGCGCGGCCCAAGAGGGGCTAAGGCGGAGAGTAGATGTCTCTGGCTTGGGCCCTTCGTGGGGCGGAGCGTTCAGGGCTGTTGGGCTTTGAGGACGCTCGCCCAGGCGTGGCCTTGGGAGGGGTGGGCGGCGTACCCTGGCGGCAGGATGCTAGGAGAGGAAGCACCCGCGCCCTTAGGCCTGTGAGCGCCCCCGCTTTGCCTGCGATGGCCGCTCGTGCTCACCTCTCCCCGGGGTCGGCCTGAGGTGACCGACGATGTGACCGGCGGTGCCGGTGGTGGCGGCTGGCGGACGATGTTCCCCCTCCTGGGCGCCACGACGCTGGTGCTGGTCGTCGGGACACCGTGGGTGTCGCCCGCAGCCGCAGGTGGGACGAGCCGGGAGGTTTGGGCTTGGGACGGGAGCGGCTGAGGCCTCGGCCGATGGCGGGGGCGGTCAGGGCACAGCCGAGTTCCCTGGGCGGCCTTTCTGCTCGCGTGGGCCGCAGTGCCCGCCTGCCAACCCTGTGGGGCTTCCACATCCGAGAGGACAGAGAGGGGTTCCGTTGGTACCCGCGGCGGCCCGGGGCGTCGTCCTGGGCCTGGAGCCCCTTGCGAGAGCTTCAGGTCATCTTTCAGCTCCACTGGCCCGTTTGGATGAAAACAAGGCGTTTCTTCGGGGTAGTGGACAGCTGCCCAGTGCCTCGGGGGAGGAAAGGGGTTGGGTGCCGCAAGGTTTGCCCACCCTGGAGACCTACTACTGAGAGGATAAACCCAAAGGGAGCCGCCTGCTCTCTTTGCTTGCCACTCTTGACCCGTAGCCCTGAGGCAGGAGGGGAACCACCAACTCTCCCTGGATTCAGACCTGGGCACGAGGAGCGGTCTCGGGGGAAGTTCGTGTCCAGCGTCCCAGCAGGCCAAGACTCCAGGTCACTGAGCTGCCAGTAACTTCCACCTGGGTGTCTGCGAGGCAACCCTTGCACCTGTGCGGTGCGTCATACCTGATACCCCACTTTCCTCCTTACAGGGAGGAGGGGGCATGCTTAGCGCCCCAGTGCACCCAAGTCATGTTTTTGCAGCCTTTGGTGTATGAAATTCTCGTTTTGCCTTAAGGTTGAAAAATAAATTGCAGCAGAATTCTGATATAACACTGACATGGCAGGAGGATGTGCAGAACTAATGAAGCGGAATTGGCAGGCAGTTAGCCTGTCTTGAGCTTTAACTCTAGGTGTTGGTTGGTATAGGTTCAATTAGTGTCGTCTTACTTTAAAGATAAGAAAACAATACATATTCATTGAGGTTTCACAACCACTGTAGACATTTCCTTTTATAGAGGGGACCGAGACACTCAGAGTTTAGTGACTTCACCTAGCGCCACAAAAGTGGCCCTTCGCTGAATCAAAAAATGGAACCCTAAAAATCAGGCCTCAGAGCCTTGAGAGTCAGCCAGATCAAACTGTTGCCCTAAGAATTTAAATCCTTATTTCCCCACCCCTGTGCTAAGGGTCTCTTGATCCCTTATCTTTCAATTTACTATTTTTTCCCAGAAGAATTATAACATTCATAAGTAAATGAAATGTTAAGCCAAACTTAAGATTGAAATGTTGTTCTGCCTATCAAAAGTCACAAAATTGCTAATAGTTTTTAACCTGGTAAATGAGATTTTGGACCATGGAAAAATTGCTAATAGTTTTTAACCTGGTAAAAAGACTATCAAACAGGGCAGAAAAATATATCCGTATTTGTGTGGCTCTGGGTGTTTAGATTTACATCAGCCCTGAAAAGATAATAAATGCTTGGGTATTATCAGCATACATACAAAAGGTTGGAAATAGCCAGAAGAGTGTGTGTTCAATTAAACACCATCTATACACCTTCCGTGTTTAAGAGGTGAAGTGAACTGTTAGAGGGATATTGCTAATGTAATGCAGTGAAGCCTGTGAGAACTATGCACAAATGAATAACTCTATTTCCAAGTGCCTGGCTGTCACTTATTTGTTGATTTCCCAAATACCAAAATGCCTCACTCCAAAATCTCATTTCTTGAGCAAAATGAAGGATTGCATCCTTGTGGAAATCCCTTGGCTCTGCCTCATCCAATTTCCTGTATCTCAAGACACAGAAATACTATAAATGTTGCGCATGCAATCAGATCTTTGTTGATCTCTATTAGCCCAACTGCTGCTCTTTGGCTGCATAAACTCTGCAAATGCCGACATGTGGGATGTGTTCCAGGAAAACACAGTTAAGAAAACTGAACAGCAGACTTGAACAGTGCCAAAAGACAGGCAAGGAAGCAGGCAGATCGAACACTGGAGAAAGTGCAGTTTGTTGGAGAGCCACACAAGTGTGGTGAGGGTGCCACAAGACCAGAGGTCCCCCGTGTCCTGTAGCCAGACAAATGTGGCTGGCTGCCAACCAAAATGGGCCCCTTTTTGTCAAAGAGCAGTAAGGTCACCAAACACCTTCCAGGTGTTGAACCCTCCTGCCCACACTCTCCAAAGGCGCTCCTAACAAGTCTGCTTCTCAGGGGTTCGCTGTATGCATAGCAGGGTCAGTGAGGCAGGCCAGTTTTAGCTCACATGCTTTTATGTAAGGAGGCGAAGGTTATGTCAAGCAGAATGGATATCAGGCTAGGAAAACAAGGAGATGTCTTGTTTGGGCATAAAGATTCAGTGGATTGGAGTATGAAACAAAATGCTGAGGGGAGGAAGACTTAATGAACACCTCAAGTTTATTTTTTTTTCCAGAAACCCCTTTCTCAGGTATTCCTCCTTTGCCCCTATTGGTGGAAATGTGTGGAAGAGAGGTTCTTGTCTTAGCAAAGGAAAGAATTCAGTCATGAGGCCGAGTTACTCCCTGTCAGAATGGGCCAACACCTCTTCAGACAGATGGAATTTGAGAAAGTGTGTCTGGCCTTTCACACTGGGGTCAGCAAGGTCACATAGTTCAGTGAGGAGAAGATAGCTGGCAAGTCAGGTATCTCAGCATCATCTCAACAAAGAACTGAGAATGCTGAGCTGCACTACACCTGATTGGGCAGGCGGTGGGGCATCTCAGAGGAGATGTATTGAGACCAGGGCTTTCAAAGCAAGGGGTCCAGTGCTGCCTGCTGTCTGTCTACCTCCTTCCTTCTTCCCTCTTCTCCTGCACAAAGGAAGAATAGGTAAAATTCCTCCCAAGTGTTTATTTCCTGTTGTGTCAGACTGTGTAACCCATTGGTCCAAGGGAGAGAGGACTCTGCTCAGCTACCTTCTTCCATGGGGGGAAGACTGGGACCATCTCTTTAGGTTACCGAGGTGTGGGCAGAACTTGAGCATGGGAAATACTGGGCTGCTTCCAAGGCTTTCTAGCCCTGATGCTTTGCTTTCCTCAGGTCCCTCTCACACACATCAGCTAATTACTGCCTTCCTACCTGGCACCCCCACACCAAGTATCCAATTAGAAAGTAGAAGAAACCATCCCAATAAAGAAAGATCTGGACAAGAGACCTGGGCTAGAGAAGTCTTTTTAGAAACAAGGTGGTTGTCCTGAGGCAGAAGTCAAAAGCTAGAAATATTCAGGAGCCAGAGATAAATTTAAAAGCTTATCTTTCAGAGTTTGAGCTTGTCAAAATGAATGACAGGGCCTTTGTGAAGGTTTAGTTGCTGGATCCAGCATTCTAATCAATAGTTCTCAACAAATTACAATGAAGTCCAAGGTTCAATAGCCACTACCCTTCAGCAATTTGAAAAATGGGTGGAGGTTTGTGCTCAGCACCAAGAGGCAGCACTTTTAAAAATGCATCATTTGTAGATCCCAAGAATCTGGTAGAATAAGGAACATGTGGAGTGTCTCCCACCCAGACACTAGCTGCCTGGGCAGAAGGGTCTGCCCAATGTAACTGTTTGAGAACTTTATTGAAGGTTTCTGACCCCAAGGAAGGGCTTTGTCAGTAGACTGTACCTAATTGTGATCAGCTTCAGCCCTTAGCACAGTAGTGGCTTCCTGTCTCCCACTTTCTGGCTCTGGGTAGGCAGCTCTGCAGTGGTTCCTGGGGGGACCTGTCACAGCTCACAGGAGCCGGGGTGGGCAGCGACAGGCCCATTATCTAAGTGTCTGGGAGTAATGATTGCTGCTTCTGGCTGTTGTCACTTGCCCCTCCAACCCCCTTTTGCTGCAAGCTCTTCTACCCCACTAGGTGACTTCTAGGGGATCTGAAGTTCTGACAGCCTTTCTCCCCCTTCCCTCCTATCTCTTCATTTTTCTTCTTTTTCATTTTTTAAATCTTTTTTATTATTATTATCATGTTATCATACAATTCTATAGATCCTGAGATTTCCCTTATACTCTCCCCAATTCCCTCCCCCCTGAGTTTCCCTATATTATTACTATAATATAGTTCTTCATAAACAGTCATATATCCATCATTGCAGGCATGGACAATGGTAGAAAGTCCAGCATCCTATTGTCAAGATATAGTAAACAGTTTCATTGGGAGTCCATGTTTAGTCTGGAAGTAGAAATGTGTACTACAGTGTATCCTCACATCTGAATATTATAGTCTCCATTACAGTTACTATACATCTGCTTAAATGAAGAGCCACAATACAAAATCAACACCAGAAAGAAAAATAGAAATTTACAGTGCCATGAACTTAAACAAAATGCTACTAGATACGATAGTTGCCATTACATGATTACCATACATTCCCCTTAAATGAAAAGCCACAAAACAAAATCACCAACAGGAAAAGAAATTAATACCATGAAGTTAAGTAATATGCTACTGAATGACTAATGTTGAAGAAATGAAAGAGAAAATCAGCCTTCTTGAAGCAAATGATGCTACTGTGTGATATATGAATGATTGAATTTGACAAAAAAGTGTTTTGGAGAGATGAAACTAACCAAAAAAAAAAAAAAACCCCAAATCCATGAGATATATAGTTACCACTGATCTTTGTTAGTGAGATATGTCTCCTGTAGGCAACAAATAGATGGGTTTTGTTTTTTTAATCCAATTTACTTACCTACCTTGTATGATTGATGAGCTTAAGCCATCTACATTCAAGGTTAATATGTATGGGTGGTATGATTAGGTCCTGTCATTTTAGCAATGGGTTATTTATTGATTTAATCTTTTGTTGTTATTTTGCTGGGATGTTTTTGGTGGGTGCTATTCCTCTTCTCTGTCAAGAGAACATCTTTAAGTATCCTATGTAGGGTAGATTTGGAATAAGCAAATTCTTTTAACTTTTCTTTACTATAGATAAATTTTATTTCATTTTCAAAGACAAAGGAAAGTTTTGCTGAGTACGTTATCCTGGGTCGACAAGTTTTTACCTTTAAAATTTAGAATATGTCGCTCCATTCTCTTTTGCCCTGTAGAGTCTCCTGTGAGAGGTCTCCTGTAAGTTTAGTTGTCATTCCTTTATATGACAATTGATTTTTTTCCATGTGCACATCTAAGGATCTTTTCCTTATGTTAGATTGAAGAGAACTTGATTATCATGTGTTGTGGTGAAGATCGCTTTTGGTCAACCCTGATGGGAGTTCTTTGTCCTTCCTGGATGTTGTTTCCCAATTCTTTCTCTAGATTAAGGAAATTTTCCCTTATTTTTTCATTGAATACACCTTTAATCCCATTTTCTCTTCTGGAACTCCCATAATTCTTATATTTGGCTTTCTAATAGTGTCTACAATTCTCTTTCTATAAAAATACTTTTTTTTAGCTTGACCCAGTTCTGCTTCCAGCTTTTTGTTTGTTTCCCCTTGGTGACAGGAAATATCCTCTAATTTTGAGATTCTTTCTTTTGCCTCGTTCATTCTATTATGGAGACTCTCCACTGTACCTTTAATTTGCTTCACTGTATTCTTAATTTCTGATATGTCAGCTTTCATTTGATTCATTTCCTATGTAACATATTCCTTAAATTCTTTGAACTCCTGTATTATGTGCTTCTCATTGTTGATAAGAAGCTTTATAACAAGTGTTTTGAATTCTGTGTCCCCAATTTTCTCAGTGTCTTCCTCAGTTAACTCTGAGGTTGGCAGAGGGTTTTTGCTCCTTTGCAGGGAAGTCTTCAGTAATGTTCATTGTGCCTTTATCTCTTCTTTCACTCTTGGTCATTGTACTTCTAGTTATCAGATTCTTCTTGGGACAGGTTTCTAAGCTCTGTCACCCGCAAGTCTATACTCTGATTTTACTTATGGCAGTTGGTACATGGCTTTTTGTTTGCAGTCACTTGTGCCACTCCCTCCAAGAGTTCCAGGTCTGGGTTCTTGGGTTAGATATCCACTATGGTCTCCATAGCCACAGCTCCTGGTTCAACAGTCTGCACCTCCTGTGAAACTGTGCTGAGGCTGCACCATTGTCTATACAATCTTTCTCCCACTTCTGGTTGGAGCAGAACCCAGGTGTAGGGAGCCAACAGGTATCCTATATAACTAGGATGTTGGTGGTGCTGATCTTGCAGGAACCTGTTGGCCATTAGGTCTGAGAGCCACACGAACCTATTTTGACCTGTATGATGCCATAGTGGGTATTATTTTCCTGTGAGACCAGTGCAATGTACTGAGCTCAGTGAGTTCGTTCTCAGCCCAGTGTATGCACAGCTCACTGTTGTCCTTCGCAGTCTTAAAATCTTTGCCAAATGATACAAAATTGCAGCTGATGTGCCACTACTAGACTTCTGCTGGTCCTCAGGTCTGAGGGCTGCCCATAACTGTCTTGGGTGGAATCTGTAGAATGCCATGATGTTGAGTTCACTGACCCCAAAATGAGTTCATTCTTAGCTCAGTGCATGCACTGTAGTGTTTCATATCCTTTGCCTCTTTAAACAAAATGGCACGCGATATGGCTCTAGGGCATGCACTGGGCTGTGATATTCATCCTATTTCCCCAGTGTGCATCTGGGACCTGCGTCTCTGTCTCTGCCACTGGTAACATAAAACAGACCAGCAAGATGAACGGTTATTTGTCTGGGTTCACCTCCTGAGCTCCCAGTGAAACCCTTCCCACCTTGTTGATGGTGGAGTTCTGGCTGCTGGTGGAGTTGATATCGCCACTCACTAAAGGCTGCTGGGGTATAGGTCATTGGAATACCACACCGTTGTATCCACTGCTTTCAGTGTCTGTCACACTCCAGGTACCCCCACTGCTGTTGTTCTGTCTTCTCCTGTTTCCTGGAATGTACCCTCTCTGCTTCACATTGGCTAATGTTTCTCCATCGTTTAAACGTGTCCTTACACTGTTTGCCATCTTGATTCCCCCTCTATTTCATTATGGAGCCAGACTTTTCAGATTTGAGGAACAATTGCTTATGTAGAGAAAATTAGAAAGTGATGGGGCATACTCAGGGCGTTGCTCAGAAGAGATTGCTGAGTTTACACTTCAAACCAGTTACTTGGCACTGACAGCTTACAATTGTTTTAAAAGTAATCATAGTAACACAAAAGAAAACCCAGCAACCTCTGGGGAAGAGGGAGAATCGGATCTCTGGAGTACATTATTAGATCATAAGACACACACAGAAAACAAGAAGGAGCACCCATTTAAAGGGGAAAAAGAAAAACACAGTGAGAGAAAATTATAAATTGACTCTGAAAAAGACCTTAATGGCTCACCTATTAGGGAAAGACTTTAGAACAGTTGTCTTAAAGTTGCCCAAACAATGGCAGGAAATTAAGCTGCGGCTTGGGACTTGTACCACAACTGATGCAGTAGTGCCTGGTTCCTGTCCTGGCTGATGTGCTTCACTTCCGGCTTCCAGCTGATGTAGATAGACCTTGGAGATAGCAAGCTGATGGCTCATGTAATTAAGTTTCTGCCACCCACATGAGAGACAGAGATATGGCTCTGGCTTACAAGGTACTTACAGCTGTTACAGATAAATAATTCAGCTGCACCAAGTCCTTTTCGGTGTTCCTGAAGGACGTGACTGACACAGTCGTTCCTGCTCCTGTTAACTAAGCAGCTGTCCAGCTGGACACCACATCTGTTTGGTTGTCTATCAGAGTATAAGAAACATCACTCCAAATTGATTATGAAGCCAAACTAAGACAGTTGAACAGTTGAACCATGTGTCAGTAACATGCGAGAGATCAAAGGAAAATTCAAGTCTTTATAAAGACGGGTTTCCTCCCCCTTTGGTTAAAAGATACTTTTATTTAATATTTTTAAATATTTAATTTATTTCAAAGGCAAATTTTACAGAAAGAGAAAGAAGGACTTTCATCTAACTGGTACACTCCCCAAATGGATACAACAGCTGGGGTTAACACCAATCCAAAACTAGGAGTCAAGAGATCCTTCTAGTTCTCCCATGTGGGTGCAGGATCCCAAGGATTTGAACCATCCTCCATTGCCTTTCCAGGCCACAAGCAAGGAGCTAGATCAGAAATGCAACAGCCAGGACAAGAACTGGCATCCATATGGGATGCTGGCACTTGCAGGTGGAGGATTAGCCGGTTGACTGGCCCCAAGACAACTTCCTTTGTAGAAGGAAAAACTTAACTTTTCATCAGTTCTGTCAGATGCTGAGGTGCAGTTTGGCTCCCTGGAGAGACAGCATTTGTTAGTCTTTGAAAGGTCTTTGAAAATATACTTTGCTGTAAGTAAATGTATCTATTAAGTGTAACATTCTTTTAAACAAATTTTTAAAAAGTAATTGGAAAGGCAGATTCCAGAGGGAGGGAGGGAAAGGCAAAGATCTTCCATCTGCTGGTTCACTTCCCAAGTGGCTAAAATAGCCTGAGCTGAGTTGATCCAAAGCCAGGAGCTTCTTCCGGGTCTCCCATGTAGGTGCAGGGTCCCAAGGCTTTGAGCCATCCTCAACTGCTTTCCCAGGCCACAAGCAGGGAGCAGGCTGGGAAGTGGAATAGCTGGGACACCAACTGACACCCATATGGGATCCCAGCGCTTGTAAGGGGACTAGCCAACTGAGCCATTGCACTGGGCCCAAGAGTGACATTCTTAAAAATAGTTCTACAGTGTATATATAATGATTTTCATCTTTCCGTCCTATAGATGAACATCAGCTGGAATCTCCCCAGCATGGACAAGTTTACATCATAGATGACAACTTTACCCTGAAGTGGAACAGGACCAACGAGATAATCCCAAACGTGACTTTTTCAGCAGATTATCAAAAGTAGGTAACTGCTATTTGATTTGCCAGAATGGTCTGAATAACCCTTATGATAGTGTCATCATAGTGCTTTGTAGATTGGGGAAATACTTGATTTTGCTATTTCTTAGAACTGTTATGTTGACTTCATGCGGTGTTTATAACTTCATTTTTTACAAATAGACCCAGTCAAATTCATCTTTTTTTTGTGAGATTTATATATGTAATAATGTATGTATTTAGTTGGAAGGCAGAGTTACAAAGAAAGAGAGAGCTATATAGAGAGAGATCTTCCATCCACTTGTTCATTATTCAGGTGACCACAGTGACTTAGCTGAACAAGGTCAAAGCCCTGGACCAGGAGTTTCTTCTGGGTCTCCCACACAGGTGCAGGGTACAAAGCTTTGGGCCATCTTCTGCTACTTTCTCAGGCCACAAGCAAGGACCTGGATGGGAAGTGGAGGAGCCCGGACACAAACTAGCACCCATATGGGATCCTGGTGCACGCAAGGCGAGGATTAACCACGAGGCTCTCGCATCAGGCCCAGTAGACAGCTTTCTAATCCACAGCCTTTCCCCTTCCACTCTGGATGTTGAGCCTCATTCACTATTGGAATATACTGCAGTCTGAAGTGGAATACATCTCCAAGTGTGGGAGAAAATGAACAAAGGCTAGCTGAGGTCTTGGAATAGCTGTGGGCCACCTGTACTCAGGGTTTCTTGTTTGTTTGTTTGTTTGCTTTGAACGTTTTTTGTTTTATTTTTAATATTGATTACAGAGAGGGAGGCATAGCCTTGTGGGCTTCTGATAAGGGTGGGCAGGGTCAAGGTGTGCAGATAAAAGTTTCATTTCTTTGTGTGTGTGTGTGTGTGTGTGTGTGTGCCTTCTGTATCCACAGGGAGAGGGTTGGGGGAGACTCATTCCTTGCTGTCATGCTGAGTCAGTGACTGGGGATGGAGACAGTTTTTTCAATGTTGCCTTAGAGATCCCCGAGTGGACAAGAATGTCCCAAGGACTTTATTTCAATGGTTATGGTTCTGAGATGTTGTCTACTTTGATGCACCAGGGTTGAGAAAATCTTTCCAAGGTGTTTGTGGTGTGTCGGTTGACCAGGTCTCCCTCAGTGCATCCACAGACCTAGATGCTTGCTGCAAAGCTTGGCCAGGACAGTTGTTTAACATGTTCTGCTTTCCATCTTTTGATGAGGTGCATGATGTCTTCTGTTGCCTTAGTTGAGCTGGCTGGCGTGTCTTTCACGTGCATCTGGGTATGCTCTCTGATGCACAGGCATCAGCAACTGAGGAGGCCTGGTCCTGAAACATGCACAGCAAGGCTGGACCACATATCCTTGTGATTTCCTGAGCCTGTGATTTGAGTGCAGTGTCTGGCTGGGGAGTGCTGCACAAAATCGTGCCTGGGAAGTCCTCAGACTTGGCTCTTGTGTGCCCCCGCTAGCTCAGGGTCAGGTTCAGTCTGTCTCCTCCACCAGCCAGTGCACATGCTGGTGGATGCAGCTACCTGGTCACTCCTCATCTTTCTTTTTTATTTTTTTATTTTTTAAGATACATTTTTTCTTTTTTTTTGGAAAGTCAGATATACAGAGAGGAGGAAAGACAGAAAGGAAGATCATCCATCCAATGATTCACTCCCAAATTAGCAGCAATGAGCAGAATTGCGCTGATCCAAAGCCAGGAGCCAGCAGCTCTTCCAGGTCTCCCATGCGGGTGTAGGGACCCAAGGCCTTGTGCCATCCTTGACTGCTTTCCCAGGCCACAAGCAGGGAGCAGGATGGAAAGTGGGACTGCCAGGACTAGAACAAGCGCCCATATGGGATCTCGGTGCTTTCAAGGCGAGGACTTTAGCCGCTAAGCCATAGCACTGGGCCCAGTCCTCCTCTTTCAGACGAGCCAGCATGTGCTGCAGCCTAGTTGGAGTGACTCCCAATAGTCCTCACAACAAGTCCACCCCCAGTCCCAGTTTCTGCCCATGCCAGCAGGTGCAGCAGCCTAGCCCAGCTTCCCTGCCCCCAGTCCCAGCCTTTGCATGTGCATGTGGGTGCTGTGGCCTCCCCCAGCCTAACCTGCTCCTGGCCCCAGTTCTTGCATACAGCAGCAAGTGCTACATCCTGCCTCAGCCTGCCACCAACCTCAGTTCTCACTGCACACCTGTCATCGCTGCATCCAGCAGGGACAAGCCCACAAATCTCTTGCCAGACCTGCCCTTCAACCGAATTCTCCCAGATGCTGCTGGGTACTGCGGCCCATTCTCCTACCTACCTCCTGCCCCAACACTTGCCAGTGTATACTGCAGACCAGCCCTGCCCAGCCTGCCCCTTAGTCCTAGCACGACTTTCACATGCACCAGTGAGCAGTGTAACCTATCCGAGCCCAGATCACACACATTGGTGGGTTCCTTGACGTTAGCCAGACATGCCATCTGGATCCTACTTTCTGAACCACCTCATCTCAACTCCTTCAATCACCTGCAGGTATAGTGGCCTGGTCCATGGAAGCTCCCAGCTGTCATTCCACACCTGTCCAACAAGCCCTTGGTGACCCCTATCCCAGTATGTCCCCAGACTCTTCTCTGGGCCATCTGCAGTTCTCCACGCAGTGCTAGGCCACCACGCCAGGTCCAGAATTACTCTCCTTAAACAACTGGTATAGGTAAATGGGGATTACTTCAGATGCCCTGAAAGTTATCATTATCCTAAAAACAGAGAGCACATACTCTGGTTCTCTTGTTCCTTCTGTGTTATTAGTCAATAGCATTATTGTTCTTACTCTGTTCTGTTAGCTTTGCAAGCAGTTACCTAACATAAATAGGCCAGACCACAAGCTGAGAAGGCAGCGTAGCATTAGGTGCAGTGAGGCAGAATGCCTGTGCTTAAATCCATCCGCTGGTAGTGACTCTGTGTCTCAACCCCTTCCTTGTTAAGTAGAGATGATAACCCAGAAGGCCATCTAGAGTTCAGCATCCAAACCAGGATACATCTGAGAGTGAGAAGAGGCACTTAATATTAAATGAGCTAGAATGCGTGTAACCAAGACTTCTCTAGGCACTGTGGAATGGGGATCCAAACAGTAAAGCATCTCAGAAGGAGTGTAGGTGATTGTATGTGAGGCCCTGAGGAGAGTGAGGGAGTGTGGGTGATTGTATGTGAGGTCCTGAGAAGGGTGAGGGAGTGTTGGTGATTGTATATAAGCTCCTGAAGAGAGCGAGGGATTCGTTGAAGTGTAATTCAAAACAGCAGCACGGGGCTGGGCACAGTAGCCTACGGCTCAAGTTCGCATTGCACACACTAAGATCCCATATGAGTGCCGATACTAATTCTAGCAGCCCTGCTTCCCATCCAGCTCTGTGCCTGTGGCCTGGGAAAGTAGTCAAGGACAGCCCAAAGCCTTGGGGCTCTGCACCCACTTGGAAGATGCAGAAGAGACTCTGGGCTCCTGGCTTCAGATCGGCTCAACTCCAGCCATTGTGGCCACTTGGGGTGTGAACCAACAAACAGAAGATCTTCCTCTCTGTCTCTGCTTCTTTCTGTGTATCTGACTTTTAATAAAATTAAATAAATCTTTAGAAAAAAGACAGCAGCAGACAAGTATCTTTTAATACAGTATCTGTGAGAGCTTAGGGCATACATCGCTGGTAGTGATACATCGATGAAGAAATAGGTACAACTGCCGAGCCTAAGGAACATCGGTGTTCATGATGTGTATATAAGAACTGTCATCACAGTGTGTCTCATGTAGCTTTCAATCTTCCATTCAACCTCTGATGAGTCAGTTTTGTGCTGAACATTCCTTGGAGTGCTAGAGTATTTCACTGAACAGGAAACAGAAAGGTAACTGCAGTTTACATCATGAAACCAAAGACAACTGCTATCTAAATGCCTACCTTGGAATTAATGTTTTACAAAATGAATAATACATTATCTTTGAAATTATATCTTCTTCCAATCTACTAAAATAAACTTTAGGGCTTTGTTTCTTTTTTGAACATAGAAACATAGATACTACTGCAGTAGTTTTCTTGAATGAACAAGCAGGGATTTTCTTTTGTATTTTGGGGTTTTTTTTATTTACAATTATTTATTGGAAAGTGAGATTTACAGAGGGAGGGAGAAAGACAGTGGGAGAGATCTTTAATCTTCTCATTCACCCCTTAGATGGCTGCAATGGCCATTGCTGGGCCACATCAAAGCCAGAAGTGGGACCTTCATCTAGTTCTCCATGAGAGAGTGGGTGACAGGGGCCAAGAACTGGCATCAACCTCCACTGCTTTCCCGGGCCATTAGCAGGGAGCTGGATTGGAAATGGGGCAGCCTGGACAGGAATCAGCGGCCAAATGGCATGCCAGTGGCACAGAGTATCCACTGCACCAGCGCCAGCCCCAGCATAAACCATTTTGATGGAGTAAGCACCTGCTTTGCCTGCAGTAGGACAGATACAAATGACAGTACAAGTGGGTTGAAGCAATAGGTTTAAATCTTGATAAGGTTTTCTGTTACTGTAAGACTTTCTGGATGTTTAATAATAGCTGGTGTGGGACAGTGTTTCTGGAATATTGGTTTAAACTCAGGTATTTTTAATACCAGCTAGAAGCTGAGACCTCAGACAGGTGAAGGGCTGGAGAAACTGGCCAGAAATGAAGTGTTCCCTATTCTCTGTACGTGTTGAGTAATCTTTCAATGTTTAGTTTTTAGGGTGGACTTGTACTTGAATCAATGCAACAGTCACTAAATGTCTTCGCTGGTTTCTAATATCTTTCAAATGTACCTATAGACTTCTTGTTTTCAATGCAGATAATGATAGCAGTAAATATAAAAGCAAACAACAACAAAAAACCTTCTTAGCAGATGGTGTTTCTGCTGGCTTAAGTCAGTAGGCTTCACATGGGGAAAGTGCTGGGAGCTGCCAGCTGTGTTTTCTGGCCCCTACTGCAGCAGCCTCTCCTTCCCCTCAGTGAAGCCTGGTTTAAACCCTCCTTGCCAACCTTGATTTCTTCATCTATTTGAAGAAGAGGACTCAATTTCATGTCAGTTAAATGTTTTCTGATTGGCCATAGCACATTGAGGAATGCATCTGTCATCATTCTAAGTTGATTCTGGTTTTTTGGAAATTCTGGTGGTATAAGAGAAAGAATCCCAGAGTCCAAGAGGTAGCTGGTTGGTTTGGGAGAAGCTGAGGAAACCCTGAAACCACCCTAAATAGGAGGGTGGCTGAGGACAGGTCTGAGTCCCCAGGAGGCCCTCCGAAGGCAGTCGTCAGACCCTGTGGGAGTGGCAATAAGGAAGACAAGACCCAGAATCACGAAGTAGTTTGCCAGAAGTCACACAAAGATGTTAGCCAAACCAGCACGAAATCCGCCTTGGCTTTATGGGTCATCTGCTTCCTTCAGATCCTCTTGGAACAAACTGATAGGCAGAGCTGTGTTAAAAACCATGTAAGGCTGGCATTGTGTTCTAGTGGGTTACGCCACTAGTGCCTGCAAGTGCTGGCATCTCATATGGGCTCTCTGATTCCAGGCCCAGCTGTTCCACTTCCGATCTCGCTCCCTGCTACTGGCCTGGGAGGGCAGCAGAAGACAGCCCAGGTGTTTGAAACCCCTACTCCCAACATGGGAGACCCTAAAGGGGCTCCTGGCTCCTGGCTTCAGCCTGGCCCAGCACTGACTTGCAAACATTTGGGGAGTGAACCTGCACACACAAGATCTGATTCTCTCTCCTTCTCTCTCTCTTTCTGTAACTCTGCCTTTCAAAGAAATAAGTAAGTACTTAGAGGGGAAAGAAACCTGTGTGTCTTAGTCATTCCATTTTACAAGTAACCCTGAAATTGTGTGAAAGGGTATGTACTGAAATGGCAACAGAACATTAACTCAAGTAAAGAGATAACCATGTAAACAAGCTTCAGAGCAGTAAATGAGACGTGGATTTGACACTGTTGCTCTGACACACTTGCTCCTTCCTTCATTTGCTGTTTTTGCTTTAAAGGTCTGAGATGAATGACTGGATAGAATTGCCCGGCTGTCAATATATTACTGCTACCTCATGCACCTTTTCCTTGCCCAACTTGAATGTTTTTGATGACATTAAATTCCGTATAAGAGCAGAGAGAGGCAACAGCACTTCTGCGTGGCATATTGTGGACTCATTTATTCCGTTTCTCAAAGGTAAGACACAGTCACTGGCTGAAGTGTATGGATTCTGTAGTAAACACTGCCAGACCACTTCACTCTCCAGGTATATTCACGTGCATGGTCTAGGAACAAAAATTTCCTTAAACTTACAGCCACCTCAGGATATGGCACCATTTCAATGCTTTCTGAGTAGTGATGGTTCTCAAAGCATGGTCAGTCCCCAGGACCCTTGCAGGGTATTTGTAAAAACAAAACTTCTTTCATGATCACTTCTTTTCATTTGATTCTGTCTTGCATCCATACTGTCATTTTTTCCTAAGGAGACTGTTTAATATGTGACGGGGTACAGAGTGCACAGGTGGTTGTGAAATCCAGCAGTCTTCTTTATGAATCTAGACTCTCAATAGATTTCTTTTTTTGTTTTGTTTTGTTTTGTTTTAAAGCAAGATTTATTAGAAAAGTTGAGAAGAGAAGACTCCTGTCCTAGCGACGGGAGGGAGTTTTGAGATAGAAAGGACCCTTACCCCCTGCCACAGTGGCAGGAGGAAAAGGACCCCAGTGCTCTGCCATAGTGGCAGGAGGACAAGAAGCAAAACCCATATCAATAGATTTCTTTTTTAAATACAAAACCACACCACTTGTCTCACCAAAGTTTCTGTTAATGTGGATACTACTTTCTCTGATGCCTGCGGGTGGGTAACACAGGAAATGGCCAACCATGTTCTGATTGGTTAGAGGGCACCGATGGGGAAGGTCTTCTGCAGGTTTCCACCAGACAAAGAGGAGTCAGGGAGCTCTTAAGACCCCAAGACCTTCCTGAACCCCCTCCCCAGTGTCCCTCTGCTCTCGGGGACACCCCGTCTCCCGGGTCCCTTCCAGAGGTGCTGTCTCCGTCCTTCCTTCTCTTCACTGTCACTGGTTCACAAATAAGATTTCTCCCTCTGAAACTGAAAAAAAAGAAGCTATGTTTTCTATAATAAATATTTGCCTTGATGTAATGGGTTTATCACTGTTATTTTGAATGAATTCATAACTACTGTAAATGTTACAAGCTTTTATGTTTCACATGTTAAATACCTAGACACACACTTGTATGAACAAAAGCTTCTGGGAGCCTCAGTGATTTTCAAGTGTAGAGAGGGGGCTGGCATTACAGTGCAGTGAATTAAGCTACTGCTTGCAGAGCCCAGCATCTCATGTCTGAATTCAGATACCGCTCCATTCTGATGTGCTTGGAGAGACAGGGGAAAATGGCCCGAGTGTGTAAACTCTTACCACCCACATGGGAGTCCCAGTTCTTGTCTCCTGGCTTCAGCCTTGACCAGCCCTGGCTGTTTCAGGCCTGAACTCACAGATGAGCTCTCTCTATCTCCCCTTCCTTCTTCTCTTTTCCCTTTTCTTCTCTTACCTCCTTTTCTTTCCCTCAATTTTCTCCCACTCTTCATCCTTCCCGTCCACAGTTCACTCACTAACTAGCCTTTCACATAAATTTTTTAAAAAAGAAGTTGTGACCAAAATGTTTGAGAACCTCCATCCTTTACCACAATTCCAAAAGGAGTATCCCCTCTCTCTACTTCTTTTCCATTTCTTCTTTTTGCTGTCTCATTCCTCATCACTGCACTAGAACTCCTCACAGTCATGGCGTGATGCCCGGTGAATCCCCAGCCCTCGGCTCACTCAGCCCCTGTGGCACCCGTGCGACTTTTACCCGCTTTGCCTTCATGTACTCCGTGTGCTGAAGCTCTAAGGCCCTGCCGTCCCCTGTCTCTTTTCCTAGTTCTGATCCTGCCTCCTCCCCTGGTGTTCTCATTCTTCCAACAATCTTACAACTTTCTGACTCCATGGCCTGACCCCACAAACTCGAGGTCCCGCCTCATTCCCTCCTCTGCTCTGTGCACTTATTTCACCATTTCTTACCAAAATTTTGGCAACGATATTCAATGTCATGTCAAATTGTCAATGTTTGGATAAAGGTCTTGGTTCCCTCCCTATAATCCTACTCTTCCCACAGTTCTTTCCTACCTCAGTTTCTGATGCTACCTGTTCTTTTGTTCAGGTCACATCCTGTCAAGAAATCCTGTCCAAGTAACCTTGCAAAGTATTTGATTGTTTTCTCACTTCCTCTGCGACTAGTCTGACACCAAGCCAGTCTCACTCTGACTTTTCACTTGATTGTCATTGTTCCGCTTCCTTCCTTGGGAGTGAAGGGGGGAACTTCCAAGAGTAAATCCCTCCCAGTCTCCACCTCCAGTACCTTCTCGGGCTCTCTGGGGCTACAGAGATCTTCTTCTGTCTTCAGGTTTCCAGCTGTCCCTATCTGATCCAGTCTCTCCCTATCCCAGCCAGCCTTAATCTCCTATTGTCTGGTTCGCTGTCTGTGCCATTTTAAATTATATTTCATGCTAAGTATGTTCCCATCTTAGGGGCATTTCACTTAATCTTCCTTGATCTGGAATGTAGTTTTCCTTTATTTAGGCCCGATCTCCAGTGTTATTCACAGAGAAACTATATCTGACCAGTTGAACTACAAAATGCTATTCTTTGCACCTTAAAAATATTATTTACATGAAAGCAGAGTTCTAGAGAGAGACACAGAACCATTCTTCCATCTATTGGTTCACTCTCTGCATGTGTGCTGCAGCACTGAGCCTCCAGCCAGAAGCTTCTTCCCAGATCCCAATGTGCAGAAGAAGCCCAGAATCTTGGGCCATCTTCTACCTCTCTTCCCACACCTTAGCAGGGAGCAGGATCAGAAGTGGAGCAGCCAGGACTGGAACCCATACCCATGTAGGATGTGAACATGCAGGCAGCAGCATTATCCATCACGCAACCCTGGCACTTCTTTGCCCTTTGTTTCAATGTGGTTTCCCATAGAGTACACATGACTGCATGTATTTCTGAGAGGCCCTTTTTTGCCACATACCCCAAGAAAGTAAGCCTCCCCAGCGTATCCCTCTGTTTGACTAGGCCAGGAACGGAGAAGTGCTTGGATTTGTTTGCTGAGTGAGTGTTCTTGGCACTGTGATAACAGAGTGACACAAGAATTGTTTCCATTTTTACAGCTCAGATTGGTCCTCCGAAAGTACACTTAGAAGCTGAATATAAGGCAATAATAATAAGAATCACTCCTTCCAGGGCAAAAATGTGGCTTACGGAGAGACAATGGTTTACATACCACGTGGTTATCTGGAAAAACTCTTCAAGCACAGAAGTAAGCATTAACTTCACCCTCGTTGATGTGAGAAGAAAATGAGGTCACTTAATTCTGACATTGCATTTCTCTTTTTCAATACTAGAACAGAAATCTAACGGTTTATCCCAGAGATACAATTTATGAACTCTCACCGGCGACTACTTACTGTCTAAAAGTGAGGGCAGAGCTAACTGAATACAGCATGGAGGGCATCTACAGCCCTATCTACTGTGCGATGACCAAAGGTGAGGAGGAGGCCTCTCTCCATGTCCATAGCTCAGGAACGGGCCAGATGGCAGTGTCAGCATTTCCCCGTAACTGCTGAGATTCTTGTGATGGGTTAGTAAACATTCAAACAAAACCATTGTTTAGCATTCACGTAAGCCAACGTGTTAGGTAATTTTTGTCTCAAGTAAATAGCAATGGAAATGAATTTTGTTTAGATTTCCAGAGGTTTCCGAATGGCAGAAATTGGTTTTATCGGTACAGAATCCATAAAAAGGGGCAGATAATTCCTTCCAGAAAGCAACCCTCTACAAGTGAAATGTTAAAACATGCCAGCATCTCTATATCGGTGCCATCATTCCAATAATTTAGGTCCACGATGGCAGTTGACTTTTATCTGTTGTAAGTTTAATGTGCTTTTATTTTTAAAATCAAATAATACAAAGGACTTAAGACACAGTTTCTTTCTGCTGTCTTCCTCCATTCTGATTAGCAGAAGTAAGCATTCCTAGCAGTTTGTGTATAGCCTTCCATGCTTTTTATCAGGGTTTATATAAACATGTACACATGTAAGCATGTGGTTTTTTATTTACAACGGGGGTCCTGCTAGGTGTGTTTATCTTAAGACTTGTCTATTTAACCCAGTTTGCAGTGGATATCTTTCTAGAGAGATGCGTGGCCAGCTGCGCTGTAGTACACTGTGTGAGCCTTAACTCTCTTCGTGATTACAAAGTCACGATAAGAACGCATGCCTGGAAGGTGTGCCTGTGAGGAATGTCACCATATGTTGTCTCGCTAGGGAAACAGTGTATGCTTTTTGAACATATTCTTTGACTTCTAGTGGAATATAAACTGCCTCCACCGGAAAATGTACAAGTTGATGTTGAAAATCACAACTATGTTCTTAAGTGGGATTACGTGCTTACAAACGTGACCTTCCAAGCTCAGTGGCGCCAGTAAGTTCACACGTACATCTGCCTTTGGTCCTGCTTTCACCCTGCTGCAGCTCCCTGCAACCCCTTGCATAAGAATGACTGACTGAGAGGTGGCATGATATACTAGCAGCTTGGGAATTTTCATTCTAGCACCAGCTCTGCTAGAAACCAGCTGGATGCAATGAGATAATCCCTTGTTGGGCCTCAGTCTCTTCATTTATGGTAAAATGAGTGTATTCGAATACAAAAGGTTTTCTGTTTCTCTGTAGCAAATTCCACAGACTTGGCATCTTTTAAAAATGTGTTTAGGGATCAGCATTGTGGTGCAGTGACTATGCCACAGGGTGACTCTGGCATCCCTAGGAGCATCAGTTCAAGCCCAAGCTGCTCTGCTTCTCATCCAGCTCCCTGCTAATCCACCTGGGAAAGCAGTGGAAGATGGCCCAAGTGCCGTGGCCTCTTCTACTCATGTGGAAGACTTAGATAGGGTTCTGGGCTCCTGGGTTCAGGCTGGCTCAACCCTGGCTTTTGTATCCATTTGGGGAGTGAACCAGCAAGCACTTGGAACATATTCTGTCTGTCTCTCTTCCCCCCTCTCTCTCACTAAGACTTCTAAATATATCTTAAAAAGACAGACAGCAAGATCTTCCATCCACTGTATCAAACCCCAGGTGAGGCATTGTCAGGAGCTGAGCCAATCTGAAGCCCGGAGCCAAGAGCTTCTTCCAGGCCTCCTGCATGGGTGTAGGGTCCCAAACATTGGGCCATCCTCCACTACTTTTCTTTTAAGATTTATTTATTTATTGGAAAGTCAGATATACAGAGATGAAGTGAGACAGAGAGGAAGAGCTTCCGTCCGATGATTCACTCCCCAAGTGAGCGCATCGCCCAATACCATGCCGACCCAAGGCCAGGATCCAGGAACTTCTTCCAGGTCTCCCACAAGAGTGCAGGGTCCCTAAGCCTTGGGCCGTTCTCGACTGCTTTCCCAGGCACATGCAGGGAGCTGAATGGGAAGTGGAGCTGCCGGGTTTAGAACCGGTACCCATGTAGGATCCTGGGATGTTCAAGGCGAGGACTTTAACCACTAGTCCACTGCACCAGGCCCTATCCTCCACTACCATCCCAGGCCAGTGGCAGCAAGCTGGATGAGACGTGAAGCATCTGGGACACAAACCAGCAACCATGTGGTATGCCAGCACATGCAAAGATAGGATTTAACCCCTGTGCCATTGTGCTAGACTCTAAATAAATCTTTTAAAAGATAAAACAAGCCAAACAACCCTCAGAACACTACGTTGCTATGAGTCCGGTGTCCAATACTGGTTTGATGAATCCTCGGCTAGCACTGCAGTCATCAGCTGGGACTCTTGTCTCGTGCAAGACTTGGTGGCCTCTCCCAAGCTCTCAGGTTGTTGGCAGCTGTGGAGTTTGTGGTGGCCCTCTCCTTGGGGACCATGCACGGGACAGAATCACCTCCAGACTCCACCCTGAAAGCTTATCCAGTAGGTCAGGCTCACCACTGGGGGATAAACTCAGACACTCTCAGGTTAGAACCCTCATTACCTCTGCCCAGCCTTTTCTCCTTGGCCATGGACTGTGACCCAATCCTGGGATTAGGGCACCAATCTTATTTACAGTCCTGCATATCACATGGAACAGGCATCTGGAGGCCGTCATAGAATCATGCCTACAACCTTGGGGAGGATGCCTTGGAGTAACAGAGTATTTGTATATGGGAGAATTGTAAGAAAGAAGGTGACCAGGAGCCAGCATGGGGACAAAGCAAGTCAATCTTCGAGCTGCAGTACTGGCATCTTTACTTTTGGTCCAGCTCCTGGCCAGTGGCCTAGGAAACCCAGCAGAATATGGCTCAAGTCATTGGGCCCCTACACCCACATGGGAGACCAAAAAGAAGCTCCAGGCTCTCAACTTCAGATCAGATCAGCTCTGACCATTGTGACTATTTAGGGAGTGAACCAGCAGATAGAAGAGTGTTCTCTGTCTGTAACTCTGGCTTTCAAATGAAATAAATAAATTTTTTTAGAAAGAAAAAATAATGGAAGTAAAAAGCAAGTTGATGGATAGAATGAGAGCAGCTCAGCCTGTCCTGTAGGCCTCTGAGAACCAGTGGGAATTCTGCACTGGGAAATTGGTACCCTGAGCTGTGTGCTTGAGCACTCTTAACCTGGTGGTGTACCAGGTGCGTGATCATCAACTTCCAAACAGGCAAAGCCCCCTTTCTAATGTTGAGTAACTTTGACAATGCAAATACTCCCTCCCTGCCACCGTCAACGTGCCAGCAGCATGTCCCTGGAGCGAGATTGGGAAGCCACACACAGTGACGCCCTGTTGTGTATAGTCTTCCACCCCATAGAGCAGATAGACCTGAGTATCTTCAAGAACACAGGAAGATAACAGGACAGAAAGAGGCTTGAGTGTGCGGTAGCTTTGTCCTCAATCCGTTTTGTGGTGTGTGTGTTTATAATTTGGCTTTCTTGTAATGGCTGTGTTAAGAGTGTGATTGTTTCCTGGCTGTAATGGAACAGTGGCTGTGGTACTCTCACCATTGTTTTGCTTCCATGCCTCCTCCTGCATGCAGCACTCTCCCTTTGGCTTTGTGATCGTGTTGGTCCCTCCCACAGTACTGGGAGACTCACTACAGGACAGCTTCTCTATGACCTTAGCTCCTAACAGTGCCTGGCAGATTGTAAGAACTCAGTAAACATTACTTCATTCATCTGTTTCAACTTTTGAAACTTTTTTTCTCTTAAAAGTGCCTATTTAAAATGGTCTCCTGAGGACCAAGCAGGGGAATGGAAACAAATTCCTGGCTGTGAAAATGTCAGAGGAACCCAGTGTGTCTTTCCTCAGGAAGTTCTTCCACAAAGAATTATGTATTCATATTCACTCCGTGTACGTGCAATGGATGGAAATAACACATCCCTTTGGTCAAAAGAGAAGGAGTTTGAGAGTCAAAAACAAAGTAAGAATGATAGTTGTGACTTGGCATGATAATTCTCCACCTCAGAGCAAGTTCTTCAAAGCATCTAATGCTACGTCATGTCTCTGAATTTGTCCCCAGCTACCATCCCTCCTCCAGTTCTCAATGTGAAAACCATGGGTGACGCACTGCACGCCTATGTTGGACCCTCACAGGAATCTACAGACCTGCATGGCTCACTCATCTATGAAATCGTTTACTGGGAAAACACTTCAAGTACTGAGGTAAAATGACTCTATAAGGTTGTAACTTGGGGTTGTGACTGACTTGCAGGGACATAGCTTGAATTTAACATTTGAGAGAAACCTCTCAACTTGAGCACTTTTTGATGAGCCCTGCTGTTTATGAGGAATGTTTGCCACTCCCATACCCCCACTGACTCCTGTCTTACTTGGTGGAGTTGTGGGTCAATCTGCCTCAAGGACCCACCCGAGTCCAGCACTACAGAATCAGTCTCTGGGACTAGGATTCAGAGATTTGCTCTTTTTTTAACTTAATTCTCAGGATTTCTCAACCCTGTTGAGTTTTGAGACAGACCACTGCTGTGGTACAACCTTCCCGTGCATAGCTGGACTGTAGGACACTTAGCCACACTGCTGGCCTCTGCACTCCCTCCCAGTTGTCGTACCCAAAACCACCATCTGCAGGCACTGTAACGTGTCCCTGGCAGCACCTCCAAGGGCACAGAGCCTGACTTGCAAGGCAGAAAAATTCTTAACTATCCATGTGCCAACAAAGTTCAGCTTTGGCCAACCAAGTCCCGCTCCTTAGCATCCCATCACACAGTAGGAGAGCAACTGGGGAGAAAAATGTCTCTTCATTAGGGTAATAAAGAAAAAAGGGATGAACTAGTGAATGCAAGACAAGGATGCTCACAAGCACATGACAAGACCACAGGATCTGTGAATTACTCCTGCCAGGGTGGCAACATCTCAGAGCCTAGGGTATAGTAGGGCTGCTTGGTCCTGTGGCCAACGTCTTTTTCTATTACAAGTGTCAGCAGATTCCAAGGAAGCTGCTGCCTTCAGTGTTACTCTTGACTTCCCTTCATCTGCAGTGTGAGTTAGCCCAGGGAGAACTACGATCAGGATTCCATATTTCCTTCTTCTTCCACCACTAGATTGTGTAGCCTTGAGTAAAGCTCAGACACTGCTCTGCGCAAAAATGGTCTTCACAGCAACCAAACATGTCAAACGGATACTTGTAGGATATTAATTGATTTGGCATGTAGAGCGGGATTCAGTTAGCAAACACATTGCTTGGCTAACAGGGGAGACAGTGGGAATTCCAGCTGCTGCTCAGCCAGCAATTGAGCTGGAGGAAACCTCTATTTCAAGTGGTGGGAGGTGTGGCTCGGTGCTTCTGTTAACCACAAGGACAGCATGAGCCTCATGCGCCTTGCTCCAGGAAGGCTGAGAGACCAACTGCAAGAGCAGAGCTAAGCTGGCGCATAGCCTCGCTAAGGGCTCCACTGTCAGTCCATGACTTAGGAGTGAAAAAAATGGTTGGTAGGTATATTGTGGCAATAGCAGATCAGTACAAACAGAAGCAGTAAGCACCCTCATTTGCACATCATCAAATGAGGCACCAAGAGCCATACAGCTGACGTTTATTCTTCCTTCAAACAAGGGGTCTTCAGAAACTTCATGGAAATTTGTAGTATGAAAAAACTACACATGGATTTCATTATGCTTTGTATAAAAATAAACATTTTAATTTCCATTTTGTTGCAAACTTTTTGAAGCATTTGCTTAAAGACAGTTGGAATCCTAAGCCACTATAAATAATAACCATACCACTTAAACCAAACCAGCTTGTACTCTAAAGATAACATTGTCCTGTTCTAGCATACACTTTGTCACAACAAACATTTTTCACTTTATATGATTTACTTACAATGAGCTGTGTGAAACTACTTTGTTTCCTAAACAAAGACCAAATATATGCGAGAGGCTAATACTAGAATGAACATGAAAGAATTTAGAAAATATGTATCAATACCCTTCGCTGATTGCATGAAGTAACTAAACATTATCCATGATTTGTTTTTTTACAGAGAAAAATTCGACAAGAAGGCAATGATTTTACTTTTCCTGACTTGAAACCACTGACCCTATATTGTTTCAAAGCCAGAGCACTCATGCGTGAAGAGCCCAATCAAAGCAGTGAATTTAGTGATGTTATATGTGAGAAAATAAAACCAGGTCAGAATCCTTTATCTCTATATAGATACTCAACATTACTCAGTACACTGAAAATTGTAAAACAGTCCCTTCTGTAATACTCATGTCATAAACTGTGTGAATGAAAAACTGACTTTCAAGCCAGTTCTTTCCCCTTTTAGAAACTATTTTAATGTGCAGTACTTTTGGATGCTTTCTAGTTCATCCAATATCTACATAATTCTTTGATTACTGCTCCTTGACATTTAATAAAACTGTCAGTTCAGCAAAATGTTTTTATACAGTCCTCAATTATTATGTGCAAATCACGTAGTTCAGTTGTGAATTTTTATTGGGAAGGCAGAATTACAAAGAAGGAGAGACAAAGAGAGATCTTGCATCTATCTGCTGGTTCACTCCCCCAGTGGCCGCAGCTGCCAGAGCTGGGCCAGTCCAGAACCAGGAGCTTCTTCCAGGTCTTCTGCATGGGTGCGGGGACCCAAGAACTTGTGCTGGATTCTCCTGCTTTCCCAGGCCATTAGCAAGGAGCTGGATTAGAAGTGGAGCCGCTGGACCACAAATCAGTCCCCAAATGGGATGCCAAAGCTACAGGCAGAGTCTTAGCCTGATATGCCGCCAATCCTACCCCTCCACCACTGCCGTCAATTTATTTTTTAATATTTAGTTCCTGCAAAGATGAGAGTGAAAAAGAGAGAACACCCGTCTATTGGTTTAGTCCCCAGGTGCCTGCAACAGCCAGGACTGGAGCCAGAAGCTAGGCTCTCCGTCTAGGTTTCCCAGAGGGGTGGGCTGGGCCGTGGTCATTGAAGTCATCATCACTGCCCCCCAGGACCTGCACTGTCAAGAGGCTGGAACTGAGCAGCATAGCCTGCTCCTCCAGTGTGGAATGCAGGTGCCTGAGCGAGGAGGCCAAACACCTGCCCAAGTGTGAATTTGTTTTGCATGGAGGAACGGTATAGTCTCCACGTGTACAGTTTCCAGTGTTGGCTAGCACAGGCTCAAGCCAGGAAGGGGAGCTCAGTGTGTGTGTGTGTTGCAGAAGTACTTTACTGTTCTGGCCTGTCAGCTGTGCAGTCCTCTGCTCTTCAGCTCGCAGGGAAGCCTTGACACGTGGAGCAGGCTGCCTGTAGTTGCCATGTCCTCAGTGCCACAGACAGGCAATTCAGGGTGTGAGTGTGCAGGTTGCAGTGTGTCCTCTCTGTGACGGGTCTCTAGCTTCAGCTGGCAGCACGAGCGTGTCCCCAGCAGCACTGATGCTGAGTGCCGTTTGTGTATTTCAGGTGATATGTCCAGAACCTTGCTGCTGGTCACAGCAGTCTGCGCCGTCCTCCCTGTTCTCCTGGTTGTCACGTTCGTCGCCAAGTGCCTCCTGAAGTACCTCTGCTCTGTGTTCTTCCCGTCCCCAAAGCCGCCTTCCAGCATAGCTGAAGTAGGTGCCTTTGCTTTGTCAAGCTAGGAAATGAACAAACACATCTGTTGGACTTCGACAGATTATTTAAGTTATCTTAGAATCAAGGAAAAAGATCAAACTGATTGTGTATTTTTCTTAGATTCCATACATTAACCTTGGGTACATACAGTGTCATTTATTGATAGTGCTGCTAATGTGAATCTCGTATTTGTATTATTGACCATGATAACATAGCACAGAATAGTAAAGTTTGCCATTAGTTTCGTATTTTCCTGGCAGTTTGGTTACTGTGGCGCATGTTTTACCAGAAAACAGAAAGTATCTGTTTTTTTCACCACATAACAACAACAAGAAAAAAGTTCTGTCACTGTATAAAGTGCATTTTGCAGAGGAGGAGGTCACAAGTTGAGCTAGACACATCATTTCCCATCAGTTTCTCTTTGGCACACGGTGCAATTGGGGTGCCAGGTGACCTGGACGGGTTTCCAGCTTGCCTCATTCAGAGGGTCCCAGCCTGGGCATTGGTGAGGGTCCGAGGGCTGCAGCCTAGTGTACACTGCGGCTGGGCAGCTGTGCACAGAGCCCTTCCCGGCATGCAGGCAGGCCCCGCAGGGCTGGGAACAGACCCGCTGAGGCAGCCTCCTGTGGGGGAGGAACGCAGGAGACACACCAGGCCACCAGCGCTCTGGCTGCTCAGGGAACAGGAGCTGTTCTACACTCCCGTACTGCTCTACCTGCCTTATGCTCAGAACCATTATATTTTTTAAGACTTTCTCTCTCTTTTTTTTTTAAGATTTCTCTTATTTTTATTTAAAAGGTAGAGTTACATGAGAAATAAAGAGCTCCCATCTATTAGTACACGCCCCAAGTGTTCACAACAGCCAGAACTGAGCTGATCCAAAGCCAGGAGCTCCCTCCGGGTCTTCCCAGTGGATGCAGGGTCCCAAGGATCTGAGTCATTGTCGGCTGCCATACCAGGCCACTAGCAGAGAGCTGGACCAGAAGCAGAGCAGCTGGCATATGGGATGCCAGCACCACAACAGAATACTACACGGCACTAGTTCCCAAAGCCATTTTTTTTAAAGAATTTTTTTTAATTTTATTAATTGCATTGCATTATGTGACACAGTGTTTTGGGCGCTGGGATTCCCCCCACCCCTCCCCAAACCCTCTCCCCATGGTAGATTTCTCCACCTTGCTGCGTACCACAGTTCAAATTCAGTTGAGGTTCTTTCATTGGAAGTATTTACCAAGCATAAAGTCCAGTGTCTTATTATCTTAGTGGGTTCAACGATTTCTTGGTGAGACCATCTCTGGTCTGAAGGTAAAGCCAGCAAAGCATCATCCCAATCAAAGGCCCCGACATAACATCAACAGCCATTTACAACTCAAGGCATCAATTGACATGACATTGATTAATAGTATGTTGATAGGAAGATGCGGTTTCTTAACTACATCCTGTGACCTCTTCATAGACATTTCAATTTTGGCTTGTATTCAACCTGATACGATACAGTTATCAGTTTAGGTACAATACATTTTTTTTTTTTAGGATGGGCTGTGCAAAGAAATCCCCTATACCCCAGTGAGGTGTAACTAATCTTTATGTCCCACCTAGTGAGGCATGTTTGGGACCATGCTGGCCTTTCCTGTCTGATGCTAAGCTTTCCTTGTTGTTGTCTGTCCATTCTAGATTTTTTTTTGTTTGTATATATGTTTGTTTGTTTGTTTTAAGGGGTTACTGGAGCGATCCTAATGGTCACCGTGAGGGAGGGTGGGGACCCAGAGCCAGAGCCAGGCAAGGACCAGAGAAACCTCGCCTCCCTAGTCCTGAAGGAAGTTTATTGTTCTTCTGTTTCTTCAGACCACTCAGGGCTCTGGGCCATCATTCCGATGGCGCTGGTTTCTGCACTGCAGAGATTGGACTTCTTCCATCCCCTTGGAGGCTGCTGATGGGGGTGGGTCACCTCAGAGTCCTCGGCCTCCGAAGGCACTCCTATTCCCCGTGGTTCCCAATGCCATTATTAAAAAGTCATAACAGTCACTGATGATTCCTAATTGGACCAGGAAAAGGTCCTTCCTCATGTGTGCTGCTTCTCAATACACAGTTCTTCTGAGGACACGTAATTGTTTTTTTCTGTTGCTAACTGAAATTTCCACAACTAGTATTCATCCTTCCCTGGTTAAGCTATAATGCCCTTGCTGGTGACAGGTGGCAGTGTCGTGATGCATTTGGTGGGGCCTCGCTTGACGTTTTAATCACATGCCAGGAAGCAGGCATAAGAAATTAAAGCCATCAGAACCCTAAGAGTATTTCCATCATTTTAAACCATCCGTTTCTCTTCTTCCCCTTTTTTGGTAAATTAGTGTCTCTCCGAACAATATTTAGAGAATATCCTGCTTTCACCTTCTGAGGAGAAAACGGAACAGTGTTTCGTGATTGAAGGCGCAACTGTGATCCCTAGAGAGGAAGGCATCAACAACACCAACGAAGACCTCAAGAAGTACAGTTCCCAGACGAGTCAAGATTCGGGCAACTATTCCAACGAAGATGAAAGCAGAAGTAAAACAAGCACGGACTCTCTACACCTGGAAAGCGGCTGAGCAGAGAAGTGCCATCTGCAACACTGAATGTGGAGTGTTCCCCAGCTAGTCTGAGCTCCTCGCTCCACTCTGGAACCACGCAGAAGGGAACTCGCTTCCTGGGGAAGGGGAAAACACGTCTCCAAAGTCCTCTGAGCACGTCAAAGCACTTTGCCTGCTAAAGAGGAAACAGCAGGAACCAGGGAAGGCTTTCTATGTTCCTGTCCACGTATAAAAACTGGAAAAGCTGTGTTGGCCGTGACTTTGAAGATTTCAGCTGCAGAAGGGAGCCACACGTATCCCGAGCCCCGCCCCAGCAGCTGCAGGCATTTGTGTCCCAATCCCAGCGTGCTACTTGGTTCTGCATTTCTGGAGACAGTGCGTCATGATTGTTTACCACCAAGATAGGCCCATTAGGGATTTATGCAGAGGTTTCAAACACCATTGTCACTCTGTGCTTCACAATGTCACTCGCCATGAAGAGTAGCAAAATGTTCGGCAGAAGGGCAATGCTTAAATCTGAGGAAATGCCACCCCTGTATCCTGAGAACATTGACCCCTGCCCGTAGATACTTCTCCTCGTATGAGATTAAAACCAGGTCATCTTCAAGCTATGCATTTAAACTTCCTGATGCCTGATTTCACTGCACAGCAACTCGGGAGTGGAGTTGATAACCGTTGACATTCCGGAGAAAGGACTGTCTAACTAGAGCAGTGACTGTTAGAGTTGTTGGTTACAGGTCCATCACTGGGTGCACAAGGAGTCCTGGCACCAAAATGGCAGTAGTGGCAAAGCATAAGAAGAGGAGGACCTGCAGAGGAAAGCAGCAGGTAATGATGGAAAAGACAGAAGAAGGGTGTGTATCGGCAGCTTCAGGGTTCAGCCCCTGTGTTTAGCCCAGAGCCTCACCTGTGCACCATGAGTGCCACGGCCAGCCTCTCAGAGTTCTTCACGTATGGGGGACTTGGGGCAGGGTGAGCAGGTGTATCCAAGAAGAAAAACCTCAGTTTCCAACTATAGGATGCCTTCCGAGATACCCGGGCTTCCTTGAACTGGGTTATACATGGATATACACGTTCATGGCCTTGAAGCCCAGCCTCTTCCAGGACCCGCGCTGGCTCCCAGCTCTCCTCTCCATAGACAGGCCCATTCTCCAGGCTGCCCTGACCATTCAGGCAGGGGAGACAGGGCCACATCCTGACCCTGTCAACATCACTGCACTGATTCAGTGATCGCAGCCAGCATTTCTGGCCCCGCATTCCCACAGGGGAAAACCCATCCCAGATGGGGTTTCCAAGAAGCAGGCATGCCTTTACAGGGTGTGCAGATGGAGAAGAGACTCTGAGGCAGCTGCTAGGCCCCAGGATGTGCCAGGACACGACAACCATCTGGGTTCTACCAGGACTAGATCCCAAGCAGCATCAGAAATTTTGTTCTGGCCCCATCTCTTAAGGTGTGCCTAGGAAACTCCATCCCAGCCCACAGGAGGTGCTCCCTGTCACCTGCTTAGAGGCAGGGGCTCAGTTGGAGGGGACAGGGTAGGAGGGGAGATGTGTGGTCTCTGTGAACAGTCGCGTTTACTTAGAAATACCACGCACTTTGAGGCATCCAATAAACTGTCTCCATAATGAGACTATTGTCCCCCTTCTCGATGCTGGCTGTCCTCTAAGGATATCTGTGAAAGACTTGTATAATTCAAGACAGAAATGTTACATTAATTGTTAGCATGATGTGTAACTACTGTGTGTCATTGTGTGTGTGAATGTGGGCCTGTAAACAGAGGCATACATTCAATAACCTACACAGGGCAGCCCATGATCTGGGCCTGAGCCCTGAGTATTCCTTGGATATTCATGTGGATTCTAATTAAAATTTCCAAAATACTGCTTAGAGACTAGGGACTGAAACTGGCACAGCAAGTAAAGTTGCTACCTGTGGCACCAGCATCCCATTTTGGTGCCGATTTGAGACTCGTGTGCTCCACTTCCAGGCTGGCTTCCTGAAAGTGGCCTGAGAGAAGCAGCAGCAGATTGCCCAAGTGTTTGGGCTGCTGCACCCTCATGGAAAACTGGATTGAAGTTCCTGGCTCTTGGATTTGGCCTGACCCAGTGCTCACTGTTGGTGCCTTCCAGGGAGTGAACCAGCAGTTGGAAGATACCCCTCTTCTCTGTCTTGTCCTTTTGTTTCTGTATCTCTCACTTTCCAGTTAATAAGGACTACATCTTTCAAAAATAATATTCTAAATGTTATATAAAACCCATACCCTCCAATTCTAACCCTGGGACCACTGACCTCTGAGCGAGTGTGTGTGTGTGTGTGTGTGTGTGTGTGTGTGTGTGTGTGTGTGTGTGTGTGTGTGTGGTGTCTTCCCACTGGAACAGGTGCAGCATGGGAGCAGGAGTTGGATTTCACTCTGCACTAAGTCCCCAGCACCACCTGCCACCTCTCATAGAAGGTGCTTAGAACATAGTCATGACATGAATGGGATGTAAAGTGAGAACCAGGCAATGTTTCTGAATGTGTGTTTTACTGGGTTATATGTTTTGTTATATTTGTACCTTAACCTTACTGAAAATATCATATCTAAAACAAACTGAAACCAAAAGGTCTTTGTGCTTAAACTTAATAAACTGTTATGTGCTAAAGGTGTCGCTGCTAATGCCTTTCAAAGATCCTGGTGGTGCCCTGTGCAATGACACGATGGCTAAATCCTCACCTTGTAAACACTGGGATCCCATATGGGCTCTGGTTCGTGTCCTGGCTGTTCTACTTCCCATGCAGCTCCTTGCTTAGGACCTGGAAAAGCAGCAGAGGATGGCCCAAAGTCTTCACTACCCACACCCGTGTGGGAAACAGAAGAAGCTCCTGGCTTTGGATCAGCTCACCTCTGGCCATTGTTGCCACTTACGGAGTAAACCAGAGGGTGGAAGATCTCTCTGTCTTTCCTTCTCTCCAGAAATCTGATCTGTCTTTCTAATAAAAATAAGTATATTTTAGAGATACTGGTGACTGGAGCCCAGTGCTTGCTGGAGCCATCCCAGTGCCCCTGGCCAAGCATCCTGGGGAGTTAGGGAGACATCTCTTGATGCTTGCTTGGCTCTCCCGGTTTCCACCCCAACCTTAGATGTGGCTGGAGCACAGCCCTCGCCAGGGACTGTTGGCAGTGCTGTTGCAGTCTCCCAGCCATCTTGAACTCAGCTGCTTCCTCTTCGTGGACTCAGAGGGGACTCCTCCCATCACGTACTCATTTGACTAGATGGAGAGCAAAATGTGTGCGTGTGTGTGTGTGTGTGTGTGTGTGTGTGTGAGAGAGAGAGAGAGCATGGGTTTGTGGGGAGCAGCGGCTAAAGCTGCTCCTGGGATTTGGGAGGGGCTTTTGCAGGCGGAATTTGTCTCGCCAACAGGTAAACAGGAAGTCACAGGGATAAGCTAATGCCCCCACTGCAATTGTGTCATTGCTACTGGCCTACCACATAGCACAAGTGGACCCACGGGGAGAAGTGATTGGTGGAAAACAATATAAAAGAAGCTGGTTAAACCTAAGCCTAGGACAGACAACAGACATACAGACAATGGACAGACAGACGAAGATGCACAAGAAACACTGGGGGGCGGGAAGAAGGGTGGAGGAAAGAGGGTTGAGAAGCAGGGAGGAAAGCTTAGGCCAATGGGGACAGCATCAGTGGAGAGAAGGATTTAAACACAGCCACTTTTGGCAATAAGGTGTGCAGTCCCGGTTCCACCTTTTCCCAGAACCTCAAGAGTAAGCCTCATCGTTTTCAGTGTTGCTGCTGCTGGGCGGTGGCAGGGGACCCCTCTGTATCTGGGCTTTTCATAGGTTTCTCTTGGTTTTGTTTCACTGTGGATGGAAAAGTAGATGTTCAGATCCTCTCTGATGCTGAGAAATGACGAGCCCTGGGGACATCCAGTTTGTTCCCACCATCTTTACTCCTGGGCTTTGGGAAATCAATGAAAAGTCTTACAGGGCAGCATGAACAACGTGAGTGTTTGTGTGGGCAAATCTCAATGGAAAGCTGTCATCCTCCATCATTCACTCTGAAGTCTTCCTAGGAGGCCTCTACCACATGCAGGTAGACATCACCTGTTTCCTTGTGTTTTGGGGTGTGTTGGAGAGGGTTGTCAACAGCAGCTTGGGACATTCACTCCCAATATCAGGATATGCTGAGAGTCCTGGCTACTCCATTTCCCTGCCAACTGGACCATGCAAAAGGCAGAAGTCTCGAATTCAATGCAAGTCTCCTTCATGGGTGCTAACTCATGGGATCAACCTCCATGAGTCAGCACCTGCTATCTCCCAGGCTGCTCTTTCACAGAGAGGTGGAATCAGAAGCAGAGCTCGGTGTTGGTTGGTTTTTCTTTGCTGCAGCATCAGCTGGCAGATGCTAGCACAGGAGGCCAATTCTTTAAAACTTAACCTGTTAACCACCTGGAGAGTGCAGGAACACAGAGTGGGAGAAGGCCCAGTAGGGAAACAGTGGGCATCTCCCTCTTCGGTTGCGACTCCCACTGGTGAGCATGAGAACCAGGACTTGGATAGTCGTGGCTAGACAGAGAGTAGCACTGAACAGCACCAGTGTGGGCTGAATTGTGGAGCTGGTTGGACTGCACATTGCTTTAATGCCCATTGTTATGTATGAGAGCTGAATGCGATGTAGACAGATGTGATGTGTCTTGTACATACTAGCAAGCAGGGGAACCGGGACAAAAGACGGTCCTATAAATCACTATGTGGGTGACTTGTGGGTTACTCTGATTAGGCTGCAGCTCCCACTGGTTTGCATGGGCCAAGCCATAACACATTATGGCCCTCATGACATCCAAGACATGCTGGGGTCCGTGCAGTGGGTGTGGATGGCATGAGGGTGTGAAGAGAACAGCTTCCCTGTTTGGCAAGGCCCGAGGGAGCTTCCAGCTGTTAGGCAAGACCTGGCAGAAGTCTCTCTGACCACCTTGAGGCTGTTTTACCCCCTGGCTGCATGGACACTCAAGCACCTCACTAAGAATTCTGTAATCTATTGAGGCATTGTTATTTGCCCCTTGAGACGGTTTTCGCCACTGATGTGAGCTTGAGAGTTAATGCCACTGATAATGTCTTGGTGAGTGGGCCTTTGACAATTTACACACAGGAGCACAATTAAGCCCATGCCATTTTTGGACACCTTATTGGATACTTAACCATTGCCTTAGAATTTGGCCCAGACATGTAGCACTCCTTCTGGGAAGGGGCTTGAAAATATTCTAAATATTAATGCAAGTGATGGAAGTGAGAGCTGAAACTGCTATGGCAATAAATATAGTTATTGTTATCTCAAAGGCTAGCTTGTCTTTGCAATTTTTAGGAGTGTAGAAAATGTAATTGTTTTAGCTGCTTTTATAATTTTTAGCTAGAGGAATTAGGATGTGTTCATTAAAGAAAAATGCTTTTGATTATTGTCTCATTGTTTATGGGGTTAATGGAGACTGTAGTTGTAGGAGGATTTTATATTTGAAATTTCTGTTTTGGATTTTAGGTTTTTTCCCTGGTAACTTATTTTCCCATTAAATGATGGGTAAAATGTAGAAGTAGAAATGTGGTGGGAAAGTACTACTGATTAGCAGGCAATTGCATGTGCCTTGGCCTTGGGAGTCCTGGCTGTTGCCCCATGGCTACTGTTGAAAAATAAATAATAGCTTGCTTTGAAGAATATGAATACAGTATTTTGCAGAATTATCTTTAGGGGCACCTGCTTAGCCCTGAAGTGCAGACGGAGTGACCAAATATCTGTACATGCCCCCCTAGCCTTGAAGTAAAAAATGGAATAATTAGTTGCTTGTGTAGAAGCTTGAGAGGGGTTTTGAGTAAATAAAAAGGACAGCTTTTTCCTGGGCTGTTGTGAGAACGC